AATAACTTTTAGATCCAGGATTACGAAATCGCCAGACATCAGATATCCCATATGTGTCTAGAAATAATTTAATGGCATCAGCTGACTTGGAGGGATTGGCAGTTTTGACAGAACTACGATCTAAATAAGAAGACATTACACAGTTCATATCTCCTCCTAATATCAAATAATGCGTGTCCAGATTTGGTAATCTGGAGAAGATATTTGTGAAAAAAAGACTATCATCATAGTTTGGTGCATACACGTTTGCTAGAATTACTGATATATTACAGAGTTTACCAACTACAATGACAAAACGACCTGCAGGGTCTACTTCAACCATCGAGGCCTCAAATGGGATGTTTTTTTTAATAAGAATTGCTGTGCCTCTAGATTTAGAATTAAAATTAGAGTGATATAACTGACCTACCCAATCACACTTTAATCTAGAATGATCTGTTTTACATAAATGAGTTTCCTGAAGAAAGGCAATCCCCACCTTAAGTTGTTTTAAATGCAAAAGTACTTTTTTACGCTTAACTGGGTGATTTAAGGACTTGACGTTCCAACTGACAAAATTTATATTGCAGCCTGTTGACCTATTGGTTTTATTAATCATTCTGAAAGTGAAAGTGTAACAGTAATCCCTCCTCCAGCTTAACAGAAAAAAGCCAAGTTAAGTAAAATGTAAAATATAAGTTTGGTGCAGTTAAAACCCCACTCAACGGACTCAACGGAACAGAGTGACCCCCTAACCCATTGAAAAGGTATCCACACATTTAAGTGTTGAAATCACAGAAATCACAGTGTAGCAGGCGCTCCTAAACCAAACAAAGATAGAGAGCGTATAACCTTTTTTTCAATATTTGACTTAAAGGCAATCTGATCATCTTACAATTGTGAAAGAAAAAGAGATGGAAAAAAAACAAATATAAAAAAAAAAAAACTAAATTTGACTTCCTGTACCGCAGTATAGAAAAAAAAAGTTGAGATTCCAAAACAGAACGTTTTAGTGCCAATTTTAAAACGTAAAATGCCCAAAATTATAATTAACTTAATAAAATTTAGCGGAGCTCGCCCAAAACACAACCTACTCCATGCCTGCTCACTAGCGCCCCCCTCCCAGAAATATTATTTACCAGAATTTTAAAAAACTGAAAAAAAAGATTTTTTAAAATATAAATCAATTAATTGGAGATGCTTTTGATTATTAAAATGTAATGGAACCATTAAAATGGAATCCAGAAAATAATGGAAAACAGAATTTGGTAAAGATAAAACTGTAAAACTCAATTAATTAGATTATTTATATAATTTGATTAATACAATTTAATTTAACCATTAAAACAGAGTATAGACAAATGAAAATGGAAAAACTGAATTTGGAAATAAAACTGATTTTTACTTTTAAAACTTTTATTTTAATAGTGCCCTATAATTCTAATACATTTTTTTGTGGTAATAAAAATAGATGTAAGTGAACAATAGCCTTTAAAATTACTTAAAATACATTATAACTGTCCCAGCTATTCAAAACTGGGATTGCTATACCAGAAAAAAAGGGGGGACCAGTATCTTTGCAAAGGGTCTAATTGGTTATTGGGTGTAAGTTCTGCTGCAGTACACACTACAAAGTATTCAAAACCTGTTGTGTAAACGCATTAATAAATCATTTACAAAGCTTTCTTGTAAACTACAAAAAAAGTGTAAACTACTCATCAGTTGTAAATGTTTTACTCCTCATTCGTAGATCTTTCACCCAAATGTGTACACTCACACAACCTGTAACCGGCAGGTTTGTAAAACATTTACAACTGATGAGTACTTTACACTTTAGATTAGGGGATGTAGAAAGCTTTGTAAATGATTTTTATTACTTTGTAGTGTGTACTGCAATGTAAGGGCTGACTGGTGAGGGTGTAGACAGATGTCTTTTCTGATACATGGATTATTTATAACGCTGTGCGATAATAGTACAATGTTGACATTTCAATGATTTATAAGTGATTAATAATATATTAACTAGTAACTATAAACTATACTGAAAACAATGATTCGTTGAATTTACTAATTTTTTTAAGATAAGTGGTTGCAATCAATTTATTTTAGCTACATTTAAATAAACAAATTTAGTTGACTAACTTTCAACATTTTTTTTATTTAAATGTAGCTAAAATAAGTTGTTTGCAACCACTTACCTTAAAAAAATGTAGTAAATTTTTTTTCAGTGTATTAACCTTTTACTAAGTTTGATTATTTCATGATGCTATTTTTTAAGATAACTTACAAGATTTGTAAATCGTTAGCATATTACTTAATAATTTGTGAATGTATAGTCATGTTAATCATCATCTAATCACTTGTAAATTATTTATAACTTAATCTACAAAACATAGATAAAAATATTAACATATCACTTATTAATCATTTATGAACGCATAGTCAAGTTTTGTAAATGATTAGTTCATCATTAACTAATCACTTGTAAATGACTTGTAAATGAATTAACAAAACATACACATTGTTAGCATATCACTTATTAATTGCTTATGAGTGTTTTGTAAATGATTAGTTCATCATTAACTAATCAATTATAAATGACTTACAACTGAACGTTATTATAGCGTTACCTATATTTATATATTAATTAATATACTATAAAATTAAAAGACAATGAGTAAAACATTTACAACTGATGAGTACTTTACACTTTAGATTAGGGGATGTAGAAAGCTTTGTAAATGATTTTTATTACTTTGTAGTGTGTACTGCAATGTAAGGGCTGACTGGTGAGGGTGTAGACAGATGTCTTTTCTGATACATGGATTATTTATAACGCTGTGCGATAATAGTACAATGTTGACATTTCAATGATTTATAAGTGATTAATAATATATTAACTAGTAACTATAAACTATACTGAAAACAATGATTCGTTGAATTTACTAATTTTTTTAAGATAAGTGGTTGCAATCAATTTATTTTAGCTACATTTAAATAAACAAATTTAGTTGACTAACTTTCAACATTTTTTTTATTTAAATGTAGCTAAAATAAGTTGTTTGCAACCACTTACCTTAAAAAAATGTAGTAAATTTTTTTTCAGTGTATTAACCTTTTACTAAGTTTGATTATTTCATGATGCTATTTTTTAAG